ATATATATATATATATATATATATATAAAGTAATAATAACAATAAAATTAATAGTACAAAAATTGTAAAATTAACTTACCTCATATACAAGTTAAAAAGTATTGGTGTGTTTTCTTTTCCTCTTCAAATAAACATGAATATTGTTCTAATTGTGATAGAATGAACAACAATTTTAACATAATTATTACTCTTAGATTTTTAATCTTAATTTCTCTTTTAAAAAAGAAGCAGATAGCCCATAGCCTAACCATGCTAATAACCTAGTTTGATAATTAAAGTCTATATCATAGACGAGTCTGAACTTGAAATTTAGAACCTAAATCCTATTATTTATCGAGGGTTGGGACTAACTTATTTTGTTGACTCTAGTTCATCAGGTACAAAGTAAGTTTTCAACCTTGTTAATGATGCACTTTGAGAGAATAAATTCCTTCTCATGAAGCTGAGTTCAATCAACAGATAAAACCTGTGATTAATGCCTAGCATGATTAATGATCAACACCAACCAAAGGTGAAGAATATTTAGGAATCTCAATAATCCTCTCCAAGCTAATGGTGAAGTACTCGTAAGAACTCAAGAATCTTCGAGTCGAGGTGATGATGTATCTTTTGTGTAGACGCGAATTCCATGAATTATAGTGTCTATTATTATAGGCGCTTTGTGAATAGTGAAGAAGATTCTCGCGATGAGGGCATATTGAGTTATGGGGTAACTTTTTCCTTTTAAAGATTTCTTTAAAACTTTAGCTAAAATAATAATATTTTTAAATTAAAATTATTTTATTATGTCTTATTGTTTTAATCTTAAATTTCTATAAACCCCCCTAGGCTTATGTCATTGAATACGCAGGAAAATGCTATAACCAATATGAACGAGTCACATCTTTAACTTATTGCAATACCTAACCTGTTACACGTGTTATCAACCAAGTCCAACCACTCCATGCAGAGCTTTTGGCTTGATCGATCCGGGCCAACACTATCATGAGTCACGAATATGTTGCTTGTTGTGAACTTGTTTGGATTGAAGGTTTTGTGTTTGCAAGAGAGAACATGTCAACATGCTTTTTTTTTTAAAAAGAAGCAAAATCTCCTTTGATTGTTCTTTGTACAACTCTTTCTTTGTTTTATCTCCATTAAACAAATAACTCCTATTTTCCAGAACTTATCTAAAATATATATGTTTAATAGCATGACTTCTTTTTAAGTCAAAGAAAATAGAATCAGACAGTTGTGCAAAGATTACCGGCTTGACAAGTGCAATAAAGAACGGACAAAGATGAATTAAAAGATAAGTATATGTAACAAAATAATTAAGGCTGCACTAACGCTAAATTCGATTCCAGAAATAATTCTAGGAAAAGTGAAAACGATCAATTATTCTTACGATAGAGTACTCCATAAACATGGCTGGGAAAATTCTCTCTAACTTTCTTGACAAAAATTAATTACTAATAAAGTTGATAAATAATTGACACAATTAATAATGTGGTTATAAAAAGAATTACTCAACAACGAAGAAAAAAAATCGAGAAATTGAATCGATACAATAAATTAAAGCGTATTACAGGCTGGCAAACATTAATTTATTTATGATATATTTCATGCATAACTGTTGACTGAAGTGGAGTCAACTTTGCATAACAATTTCCTAAGATACAATTATTACATTATTGAATCCTTTATCGACATTAATTTTCATCACATAAATAAACCATGGATATCATTGGAGATGGCATTCAGGGTTAGTTCTTGCAAACTAGAATCATTATCAAAGAGAAATCCATCATCCATGCAACTAATTGGCCTATATGAGTTACCCGAACTTGGAAGACTGTTACTTTGTTGCTCTTGCATCAACTGTTGCTTAGGAAGTTGTTCTGGTTGCTTATGATGCCAAGGAAGTGGCACAGAAACTTGGTGCACCTGGTTATTAGAACTTATGGATCCAAATGGTGGCATTGCTCTTGTTATTTTTGCGTGATGCTGAATCTGTTGTTTTCCACCTTGTTGGAAATTTAAGGTAATGGGACCCTTATGGATTGCCAAGGACATGGTTGTTATTGTGGTAGGGCACCCAGTGAATTGTTGTACTAATGCCCTAAAATTGGAGGTATTGGCTTTGAGAAGGGTAATGGGAGTTCTCTTGGAAGCTCTAGATCTCCTTCTGATTGGTTTGAATATTGCACCACCCTTTGGAGTTAAGTGGTGGCCACTACTTGCTGTTTTGTTGTGAGAATTGCTTGGGCTTAGTATGCCCTCTGATGATGACATGGTTGCATCCATGAATCCTAGATCCATAGCCATGCCATCCATGAGAGGTTGTTGATAAAACTGCATGCATTGATCAGCAGTAGCAGTCATGTTATCGATCATGAATTTGGGTGGTTGTAAATGGTGAGGGTGAGTGATGGTATATAATTATATACTCTTGAGACAGTCCTTGTTAATTTTTTTTTGAGAGAAAGAGTACAGAAGTTTGGTTTTATATATATAGTAAGCGTAGGGTAGGAGAGGGTTTACCTTGACCACATATGGTTTAGGTGAAATCAATTTTGTTCACACGAGCATATGGTCATGAATCAAGAAGATCACATCTTATTTCTCTTTCCATCTACACAAGAACTAATATTCTTACATTATTCAATAATATTTTATATAGAATTTGATTTTACATAAAATCTAAATTTTATCATATAACTATTGAATTATAATTATTATTACATTGATTATTTTTGTTAACTAGATCTTAAACAATATTAAAAAGATAATTAAATCAATGAAATTTTCATATATATATTTCAAAATTTTATATATTATGTTAATCTTGATATTATATATATATATATATATATATATATATATCAAGAATTAAGTAATAGTATATATATAGCAAGAACTTTTAATTTAGAGAGAAGGGAGAGGGAGATGTCTTTGTTCAAAGTAAAGATGTTCAATATTTTGACTATTCTTTGATCGGGATAGGGGAGAAACTTACTGGCAAAGGATAGGTTGCTTCCGGGAAGTTGCATGTATGCCTTATTTAATATATCACTGATATGCAAATCAGGGTTTGATTACATCAACATTTTGGACTCTTTATTACTCTCGTTTCGTTTGATGTTTAAGATTTTGATACGAAACTTATAACAAATATAAACTTGGTTTGGTAAAATAAATTATGTAATTTATTGATATATCTTCAAACTTTTGGAATTTCTGTTAATAATTAAAGAATGTGGTTATAATGATTAAGAGTATAATTAAAAAAATTAATGTTACGTTCATATTATAAAATGATAATCAAATTGTAACAGACAAAAATTGTTAATATGTCAAATAACATGAAACGGATCAGAGTGATTTGTTATATATGTTGGGATCTTGGGGGCAGTTTTTATGTTCTTGATATCAAGAAAATTAATTTGAAAATGATGAGATAAATGCGTTCTTACTTCTTATAATCACACACCAAGCCACCAAAACTTTCATTTAAGATGTTTTTCACTTTTTTTTACAAGCCACTAACTACAGTGTTAGATATGGAAATAGGAGACGGTATATGAATTAGTCATTAATATACATGCACAGCATTTGACTTTGGCTTTGTTTGAAACTCAGAGTAAGGGATCAGATGAAACTAAGAATTTATAATTACATAGTAATTGTGGTAACCAAAATCCAGGCTGCTACTCGATGATGATAATTAAATTAACGTTTACCACCAATTATTAGATACTTCAATCGACTCATGAATCATGCATTACAAAACACTATTGTTGTTCAGCCTTCGTATACTGAGGTAGCTAGTTATGATTAACTAAAATGAAGCTATATATTTAAAGATTGTTATATACATATCATGGTCACATGGTTGCTAACGATTATTTTACGAAAATTAATTGTTTATTGTTTAATTTTTTTTAAAAAAAGTAATTAAAAAAAACGATTATTTCCCAAAACCAAGTTAAATTAAACCCACGTTAAGTTAATAAAAATACTGCATGATAATCAATGTATGACTGCAAGAGTTCAATATGATGTAGTTAATTTATAATAGGTTTAAATATATAATGTACTATTTTTTTTTGGTCATTTTAATTGCAATTTTTTAAATGATTCTTGTAAATTTTACTCTTTTTTTTTTTTTTTTTTTAAATCCTGGTCCTTGTAATTTCGTTTTATTTCTTATAATATATATCTATTTTTTCATTTTATAATCTCTATAATACCATGTTCATTTTGAGGTAGTCCCTTTAGAAAATAAATAAGAGGGACTAAAAATAAAAATTAATCACATATTACAAGGACAATAATTAAAAATAATAATACAAAAACCAAAATGAAATAATAAGAAAAAAAAATCATAAGGACAATTTTAAAAAAATGTCTATGAGAACAAAATAAAAAAAAATTATATGAGCTAAAAGTATATTTAAGTCTCTTAAAAAAAAAAGTTACACATGAACTAAAATTAAAATTAAAAAAGATTATATAAGTGAGGGATAATCTTCATTTGACAAATTAATTTTGAAATGTTGAAATACAACAAAATCCACTTTCTAAATTGGCTTTATAATCGTAATTAATAAGTTGGATTCATATTCAAAACTTTTGACTTGATTGTCAATTAGACTAATTAATAAGAATATTTATCAACAATTCATAGTTTTTTAATCCATATCACGAATCATTGTTTGCATTGTGGTTATATCGATGATAATTAGTTAAATATTTTAAAGATTATATAACATATATATTAAATAGTAAAGTAATACAGAATAATAAGCAAATAAATTAGGTATAATTTAAAAAAAATTAATTATATAGTCTACAAAATCAAGAAAATATTAAATAATAACAACGTATTGCTGTAAAAATGATTTATTGCTTATTTATAAGCCTCTTGTCTAAAAAAATAAATTAAATAGAAAAGATGAAAAAATAAAAAAAATAATTTTCACCTTATAAACTAATTTTTTAGGATAGAATTAGACTCAATATCCACTTCCTATACTGACTTTATAATAAATCGGATTCGTATTAAAAACTGGGTTGATTATTAATTAAACTAATAAGAATATTTGTCCACAAATCATAGCTTGGGTTGTGGTTATATCGATGATAATTAGTTAAATATTTTAAAGATTATTTAACATATTAAATAGGAAATTAATACCGAATATAATAAACAAATAAATTAGGTATACTTTTTTAAATAAAAAAGTCATTAGTTATATGCTCTATATATAAAGTCAAGAAAATATTAAAAAATAACTATATATTAATTATTTATAGGCCTTTTATCTAAAAAAAACATTTTTAATAGAAAATTTATAAATAAATAAAAAAATAATCCAAACTATTTTTTTATTATGACATTGATTAGTATGATGGATTCTCTTTTTTTGTTGTATATTGGTTGCAAATATAGAATTTATTATCTTATGTATATTATCGGATCTCTGTTATTAAACTCGTTCTAGCATGGTTCTAGTTCAATCAATTCTTCAATTACCTAAATATTTCTTTAGATTATTTAAATAAGTTTACTTGATTAATTTGACAAATTTCTAATTAAACTTTTTAATTCGATTTTTTTTTATATTAGTAAATGGGATTGGTTAAATTATTTCTTTACTAAGTTGCAAATACTAATTAACAATAGTGTTTTAAGGTTTATTAAATACCTAGATAAGTTTATATACCGAGAGACTGGGAGAGAGAGGCTATTAATTAACATAAATATATTCATGTTAAATAAATAATATGTGAGTGTATATATTAGTACATGAGATTTTAAGGTTTAATGTTTTTTTTTATTAATCTATGTTTGATTCCCAGAAACCTTTGTTAGAGTTACTCATACTTGGTCAAAGTTCAAATATTTTAACACAAAATAGACGTATAGGTGGTTGAAGTATAAGGGAAGTATGACTTTGCCTTTGCTTTGTCAAATGATTTGAAATTCAGTATTAACTCTGCCTTTTCTTTGGGGGCAGTGCTACCGATAATGACTTACATTTAAGAAAATTATCTGTTACGTGCAAATAAGTTTAATTAGTTGACTCTTTCTCCTGCAAAATTTGTCAATACAGGGAGAGAGGGGGCTCGCTTGTAAGTTAAGCTTACAAGTACTTTGAACCATAGATGATTATGTTATTAAGTACCGATCTGACATCTCATCATATTTATTATTAAAAAATTATATTAAATCAAAGTTAAAACATGTATATATAAAGTAAAATGTATGGAATATATAATATATATATATATATATATATATATATAACAAATCTAATTTATGTAATATATATTAGAGACTAAATTACTATAAAATATCTTCTAAATGGTTGGTTGAGGACTGCAAAACATGTTTCAATTAGAAAAGTCATCTAAAATAAGTTATCATCATCTTGTTAGTTAAACACCTAAACTTGTTCTATTTGACACCTAAACTTGTTCTATTTGTATACTAAGTATGGTCATAGCAGTCACAACTATAAGGAAAAAAATGATAAGCTTACAAAAGAAATAACATATACAACGATATGGCAAAGGCGACAAAAGCATATATAAACAACAACAACACAACTTAATAACTTGCTTGACATTCATTAACTACATCATAATCAACATTTCAACATATAGATATTAACAACTAATGTGTTATCACGCGTATCAATTAAGAAGATCTCTTATAACTAATGTGAGCAGTTTAAGTGACTTGATCATACCAAACCACAACGTTAGACCTATTTCAATCAGGTTAGGTATAGTACAACATTAGGCCTCAACAAGAGCCAGATTGATATAGAAAACTTAGTTTGATTTCTCAGATTTTGCCACTTAAACAAGGAAGTATGACATTAAGTCACGATAGAACAACTTGGGTATGGGTCAACCACAACATGCATTAGCTTGCAACACTAAGTCACCTATAAGATTAGTCCATCAACTATCCTCTAAATACCACAACCCTCCAATACCGAGTTAGAGACCAAATCCTTGAATTTGTATTTTACTTGGTTAGTCATTCAACTAAGATATGGTTCGACTACCTCCATATTAAACTACATAGATCCTAGAGGGAAGATCAACTTTAAAACAACATAATCCACCTCTAACATCTATGTATCTCATCTAAGACATATATCTCAATCACTTGTCTACGACATCACAACTTTGGCAACTATATATACATCATAGTCAGCAATATTCATCAATAGTTCATCATAAAACAACAAGAATACAACAAGGTTGTCGTGCCCGACGCTACTCAAATCGCATTCGGTGCCATCAATGCAAAGAGTTTGTCTCGCCCATGCCTAACATTGTCGCATCACTCACGCTCGACATTATTGAAGTAGAGAATGTCCCTCTCTCTTGTGCCTAGCGTGGCAAAACCCATGCCTAACCCCAATGAGATAGAGGGCCTTTGCCTGA